GGGGGGGGTGGGGTTGGCGGCCGAGGCCGCATTGCACTCCACCCTGGGAAAAAAAAAAAAAAAACTTCTTGAAAAAAAAAAAAAAAAAAAAAAAAAAATACTACCCAACAAATACATGCAAGGAAGACAGATGTCTCCTATTAAATATTTGACTAAATAGAAATTATCCTTCTAAAAAGAAAGCATCTTTCTAAACATTAAAAAAAAATCATATGAGACTCTAAAAAAAGTAGCATTTTCATAATTCTGAAAAATATTCCAACTCATTGCTCTGATCGACAATACAAAAATATGTCTAACACCTTACCAAAATGTTTCAAGCATAGGTATTTGCCTTTATCCTTAACGAGAATTATGAAGAATCATAGATATTCTGATCCAGTATACTGAATAAGCCAACAAGCTACATATACAACAAGCTACATTCACATATACATATTGTGAAAAGGGTTTGGGATCATTAAATATATCAAGTGGTATTAAACAATACAAGAACTGTTTTATCTGTTTAAGACTAATTCTTTTCATTTTAAGAAACCTGGCCGAGAACAGTGGTTCATGCCTATAATCCCACAACTTTGGGAAGCTGAGGCGGGAGGATCACCTGAGGTCAGGAGTTCAAGACCAGCCTGGTCAACATGGTGAAACCCTGTCTCTACTAAAAATACAAAAATTGGCCGGGCATTCTTCTGAAGCAGAAGAATGGCTTGAACCCAGGAAGGCAGAGGTTGCAGTGAGCCCAGATGGTGCCACTGCACTCCAGCCTGGGCAACACAGTAAGACTCTATCTTAAAAAAAAAAAACAAAAACCATATTTATTGGAACTATAGGGTAATATCCTATATTACACAGGAATTTCTTTTTTTTTTTGGAGACAGAGACTTGCTCTATTGCCCAGGCTGGAGTGCAGTGGCACAGTCACAGCTCACTGAAACTTCTGCCTCCCGGGTTCAAGTGATTCTCCCACCTCAGCCTCCCAAGTAGCTGGGATTACAGGCAGCTGTCACCACGCCCAACTAATTTTTGTATTTTCAGTAGAAACGGGGTTTCATCATGTTGGCCAAGCCGGTCTCGAACTCCTGACCTCAGGTGATCTGCCTACCTTGGCCTCCCAAAGTGCTGGGATTACAGGCGTGAGCCACCGTGCCAGGCCTGAGGAATTTCTTATTTCAGAATCAGATGTACATATGCACACATTTTTTTTTTTTTTTTTTTTGAGACAGAGTCTCACTCTTATTGCCCAGACTAGAGTGCAACGGCACAATCTCGGCTCACTGCAACCTATGCCTCCTGGATTAAAGTGATTCTCCTGACTCAGCCTCCCAAGTAACTGGGATTACAGGGGTGTGCCACCACGCCCAGCTAATTTTTGTGTTTTTAGTAGAGATGAGGTTTCATGTTGGTCAGGCTGGTCTCGAACTCCTGACCTCAAGTGATCCTCCCATCTTTGCCTCCTTAAGTGCTGGGATTACAGGTGTGAACCACGATGCCGAGCCTAAATTTATTTATAAAAATCAAGCGGCTGAAAGTAAAGGATTTTAGTGAGAAACTGGTAACTCATAACTCTCAAGACAATCTGCCTAACAAATATACAAACCTTCAGTGACTTTTGCAATATAGGCTAGCAAGTCTACCTGCCGTGCCTCATCAGATGATGACAGAGAATACAGGGGAAGTTCCTCTTGAAACTTGGCAATCATTTCTTTAATTAATCCAACAATGACAGATTTAGGCTGTAGAATACATAAAAAACAGAAAAGTTACACAAAAATTTTGCAGAAGAATACTACCTTTTTTGAGGCAGGAGTATCACTTGGACCCGGGAATTTGAGATGCAGTGAGTTATGGTTGCACCACTACACTCCAGCTTATGCAACAGAGTGAGACTTCATCTCAAAGCAAAACAAAACAAACAAAAAAACTTCTTTAACCTATACATTCTTTAAGAGTTAGTCAAAAAGAAGTATTCAATCATGTTCTCATTTTTTGAAAACCATCATACAAATTATATAATACTTTTAACTGAAAAATTATTGAGTACTTTTAACTGAAAAATAAAGGAAGAAGAAATGCTAATTCAACATCTCCCAAAAGTAGAAAAATAGCATGAATATGCCTAATAGCCTAATACCTAGGTTTGGGAACTGTCTCTTTTTTTTTAACTCTTCATTTTGAAATAATTTCAGACTTATAGAAAAGTTACAAAAATAGTACATATACTCTTCGCCCAGATTACTCAAATGTTAACATTTTATCACATTTGCTTGTTTAGTCTCTCTCTAGTTTTTCCAAACAAACTAAACAAGTAAACTGAAAACATGATGTACTTTTACCCCAAGTACTTTAGTGTATATTTCCTAAAAGAAAAAGACATTCTCCTATATAACTATTATCAAATCAGAAAATTAACACTGTTAAAATACTATCTAATCTGATACTATTTTCTTTCAATGTAACTGGTTAAGCAACCTTGATGGAATTCATGAGCCTTTCTGAGCTTCAGTGTCATCAGTAACACAATGAGAATAATAAATTCCAAATGGCTGTTATGAGCAATAAATGAGCTAATGAATGCAAACTAAACACCGTGAGTGTAAAACAGATGTTTATTATTATTCTTAGGAATATTTAGTAGTATGCTCACTTAAAAAGTGCTCTTACTTTTTCAGAGTCTATGTTTCACTATTTATAAAGTAAAGAGATGAAGCCATTAAGGCAAAGAATTCAAATACCTTTGGGGACCAAGCAGATAACATCAAATGTGTAAAACTGCCAAGTATAAGAAAACTGGGAGAGATGGTTATTGTGGCAAATTGGAAAGAGCATGCCTACAGGCATCCAAATTCATTCTAATAACAAAACGAAACAAGGTAAAACAAAACCAACTGTGCTCAAACGAATTCTGCAGGCCTAACACAGCCCTCTGAATCTCTTGAGGAAATTGTAATCCCTGGCCTAGATGACCACTAGATTCCTTCTAGCTCCAAAGTTCTATATAATTATGCTACATAATTATAATTCCAACTGCATGTGGAATTTAAAGGTGCTGCAGTACTTTTAAATAGGGCAATTTAAATAATGTAATGTCTTTTTAAGACTAGTTTTAAGGCTGGGCACTGAGGCTCACATCTATAATCCCATCACTTTGGCAGGCTGAGGCGAGAGGATGCTTTGATCCCAGGAGTTCAATTCTAGCCTGGGCAACATAGAGAAATCCTGTCTGTACAAAAAATTTAAAAATTAGCAGAGCATGGTGGACCATGATTGTAGTCCCAGCTACTCAGAAGGCTGAGGTGGGAAAATCACTTGAGCCCAGGAATTTGAGGTTGCAGTGAGCTATGACTGTGCTTCTGCACTCCAATGTGGGTGACAGAGCATGACCCTGTCTCAAAAAAAAGAGACTAGTTTTAGTTTATAATAAAGACGCTCAGCACAGTAAATTAAAATCAGTACTGTCTAAACTAAAATTAAGCACAACCTTCACTAGATTATAAGACTTTCCCAGCTGCGCGTGGTGGCTCACGCCTGTAATCCCAGCACTTTGGGAGGCCAAAGCAGGTGGATCACGAGATCAGGAGTTCAAGACCAGCCTGGCCAAGATGATGAAACCCCGTCTCTACTAAAAAAAAAAAAAAAATTAGCTGAATATGGTGGCATGCACTTGTAATCCCAGCTACTTGGGTAGCTGAGTCAGGGGAATTGCTTGAACTCGGGAGGCGGAGGTTGCAGTGAGCTCACGCCACTGTGCTACAGCCTGGGCGACAGAGAGACACTCTGTCTCAAAAAAAAAAAAAAAAAAAAAAAAGACTATCCCTGAGCATTTACTAAACAAAATTACAAAAAGAGAAGCCAGTGAAAACCAGAGAGAAGAAATAAGATACATGAATTCCTGCAACATGGCACAGATGTCAAAATACTGCTTGAGGATAGTTTTGTTTTGTTTAAAGAAGGATGTAACAATGGATGAAGGAGAAAAACAGACAATTCAAAAAGGAAGAAACATGACTGATAAGTAAATGAAAAAGATTTCAATTTCTCAACTAATCAAGTAACTGAAAATTAAGAGTACAATCCATTTTTGTCCTTCCAACAGACAAGTTTTTATTATGCCCCATTCATCACATTTAACTAGCAATCTTATTTAAATCATCAGGTAATGCAAATAACATAAATGTTCATAAGGTAGAATGTCAACTCCTACTACTGATAATTTGAAGTGTGTCCTTTGTTTTTCTATTTCTTTTTTCTTCTTTTCAAATGCTTTCTACATAAAAAATATAGAAAACCATAAAACAAAGTAAAATGCATCCACAATTACACACTTTTTATGAGCTGTCTAATAAAATAAGAAGTGATAATCCTAAGGCATTCTTTACTCCAACCTCACTTGACTCCAACATGCTCCTGTTCTCCAGCCCTATTAACTTTCTGGGTACATATAAATCTATTATAAATTATCCTTTTATAAAATTTTTAATTATTTACAAAAATGAGAGAATACTATACATCTGTCTAAACCAATGTATAGAGATAAGCAAAGGTTTGTTTTAAGGATAATAACTTCTGTTAGACAAAAGGTACTGTAAAATAGGTACTATCCTATACTGATTTATACTGATTATAGAAATGTATCATTTTGTCTACCTTTTTGGAAGCCAATTTGGTAATATATAAGAAAATCTTAAAAATACTGAAAACCTTTGATCCAATAACTCTATTCCAAGAGACTTATCATTAGGAAATTATCAAAGATACGTTAGATATATATAAACATTTTCACTTGAAGATGTTCAACATTAAATGTCTTATAATAGGGCGATTTATAAATACAATAAGTAGTATCCTTACACTGGATTATCAGGCAACCATTAAAACCCACATATTTTGAAAACAGTTTAACATGGAGAAATGCTCAATATAATAGTCAATGAAAAATGCAGAATACAAAATTATATAACATGAGGATATAAAACAAATACTACTGTTATATAGATCAATGTGGATGAATTTTTAAAACTTGGTATTGGTTAAAACAAAGCATGTCAACAGGGCATGGATCACCTGAGATCAGGAGTTTGAGACCAGCCTAGCCAACATGGTGAAACCCCGTCTCTACTAAAAATGCAAACAATTAGCTGGGTGTGGTGGCACACACCTATAATCCCAGCTACCTGGGAGGCCAAGGCAAGAGAATCACCTGAACCTGGGAGGTGGAGGTTGCAGTGAGGTGAGATCACATCACTGCTCTCCAGCCTGGGTGACAGAGCAAGACTCTGTCTTAGAAAAAAATGAAAAAACAAAAAAGAAAGCATGTCATAAAAATTTCATACAGTATGATTCAACTTATATGAAAGTCAAAAACAGGCAAAACTACAAATAAATATATATATTACATAAAAATCTTTTATAGGAAGGGATTTGGAAATAATGCCCCAATCACTTGCTAGTAGCTCTTCCTGTACTTTCTCAAGTGGGAAACGACTATTAAAAGACAGAGAGCAAACAACAGTTGGCTTCAAAACCTGGAGGGAACAGCTTTGTATAGGCAGTTTTTATCAGGGTTCTGGGACTTGGGTAACCCTAGAGAGCTCAATTTCAAATTACTTCCAAAGACCACATGAAGAATATCATTGAAAGAAAATGCACTTATCATACTTATTTGTACCAGCAGAATCAATGATAAATATTCAAAAAAAAAAAAAAAAGAAAAAAGCTTTCTGAAGAAAATCCAAACTGATCTTACATGGCTCCAGTTTTGGAGATAGGGCAAATATATTCTGCCTTGAGCATCCACGTGTTTTCCGACTGAGATTCCCATATTCGCAGTTGGCTTCAAGAAGCAAATAGGGGGAGCAAAAGGATGAGAATCCAAAATCCAGAAACGAATTGGTATGTTATATGTATTACCTATTGAAAACAAAAGAAACGTATCTTTAAATGATAATGAAGCACACACATTATGTTTATGATATAGCTAGGTAGCATTTTTTATTTTGAGACAGAGTCTCACTCTGTCGCCAGGCTGGAGTGCAGTGGCGCGTTCTTGGCTAACTGCAACCTCCGCCTCCTGGGTTCAAGCCATTCTTGTGCCTCAGCCTCCCAAGTAGGTGGGATTACAGGCACACACCACCACATCTGGCTAGTTTTTGTATTTTTAGTACAGATGGGGATTCACCATGTTGGCCTGGATGGTCTCAATCTCCTGACCTCGTGATCCATTTGCCTTGGCCTCCCACAGATTACAGGCGTGAGCCACTGCACCTGGCTGCTAGGTGGCATTTTAAGAAATGACTAGGCTGGGTGAGGTGGCTAAAGCCTGTAATCCCAGCACTTTGGGAAGCCGAGATGAGCAAATCACGTAAGCCTAGGAGTTTGAGACCAGCCTGGGCAACATGGAGAAACCCTGCTCTATAAAAAATTTTAAAATTAGCTGGGTATGGTGGCACACATCTATAATCCCAGCTACTGGGGAGGCTGAGGTGGGCGGATGACTTGAGCCCAGGAGGTCAAGTTTGCAGTGAGCCATGATTGTACCACTGCACTCCTGCCTGGGTGACAGAGTGAGACCCTGTCTCTTAAAAAAGAAAGAAAGAAAAAGAAAGAAAGAAAGAAAGAAAGAAAGAAAGAAAGAAAGAAAGAAAGAAAGAGAGAAAGAAAAAAAGAAAGAAAGAGAATAGTCTAGTCAGGTTTTTTACATATAAAGGATTAATGTAAAGTAAGGCCTATTTCCCACATTTCATCCATACTCACATTGGAAATATGTTCCTGTTAGAGCACTGGTATAACACTTAAGTAAGTTTAACTAAAGCAATGGCCAAATCATCCACCCTGTCTCTACAAAAAAAAACAAAGAAAAATCAAATTTTCAAAATCTTTTACTAATATAGTTGGAGTGCCAGCCCAAATCCTGATGGAGCCACTTCCTGCATTAATCACTACACATTAAAGAAAAGGAAGGATATGTCTACTGAAGGTAAGGTGTAGTGGCTCACGCCTGTAAATCTCAGCATTTTGGGAGGCCAAGGCAGGCGGATCACTTGAGATCAGGGGTTCAAGACCAGCCTGACCAACATGGAGAAACCCCGTCTCTACTAAAAATACAAAAAATTAGCCAGGCGTGGTGGCAAGCACCTGTAATCCCAGGTACTTGGGTGGGAGGCTGAGGCACGAGAATCACTTGAACCCAGGAGGTGGAGGTTGCAGTGAGCTGAGATTGTGCCATTGCACTCCAGCCAGAGTGACAGAGTGAGGCGCTATCTCAAAAAACAAAACAAAACAACAAAAAAAACCTCTACTGAAGGCATTCCCCTGGTTGATCAAGAATCTGCTGCCTCCAATGCCCCTCCCCAGCAGTATTCATGCATTTTAACGGCCCATGACTGGCAAAGCACCTGGTGACTCAGATTCCTGTGTCTAAGTGGTAAGATTTCACCACTGGTGTTCGCTGGTCTCTTCTTCCTTCTCCCTTTCCCATCAGCAAATGCCTTGACTCCTACCCTGCACATCTAGCTTTTAGTAATTCAGCTAAAAGCTAGAATTCAGCTTTTAGCTGAATTCTAATATTCTATGCACACTAGTTATTTAATATTCTAATATTCTAATGCACACTAGTTATTTCCTACTGATCAGAAGGTCAGAATGTATATTATCTTTCTCATCTGTAAACTGGGCCAATACTAGAGCACACCTCAGTAAGAGTCTGAACTCCTAATACAAAGTCCTCGAATATAAAGGAATTATAAGAACGTAACTTAACTTTGGATGTAAACAAAGTTTAGATAGGTGTGATCTTAAGATGATACATTGGGATGCCAAAATGGGAGGACAGCTTGAGTCCAGGAGTACAAGACCAGCCTGGACAACATATCAAGACCCTGGTGTGGTAGCACACATCTGCAGTATTAGCTACTCAGGAGGCTAAGGCCAGAAGAGTACCTGAGCACAGGAATTTGAGGTTACAATTAGCTATGATCACATCACTGTACTCTAGCCTAGGCAACAGAGCAACACTCTCTCACTTAAAAGAAAAAAAAGATTACATACATCTCTAAAAATATGACTATATGAAGTATAATTATGACTTAACACAATGTTGGCTGAATAAGAAATAACACCAAAAATTTCTACAGGTATACATAAGATAATATTAACAGAAGTTTCATGTAGATGGAAGGTTAGATATAGGCTTAACCTTATCCCTTCCCAATTTTTTAAATGCTTTTTCAGCACAAGCATGTATAATCATTACACTAATAAAACTAGTTAACTAAAAGAGAGTAATAAAGGCAGACAAATAATAATGGCCACATTTATTGAACATTCACTATATGCCAGGCACTATGCTAAGAACTTTACTTATTGTAACTCATTTAAGCCTTACTGAGGTGGGCTCTAGTATTGGCCCAGTTTACAGATGAGAAAGATAATATACATTCTGACCTTCTGATCAGTAGGAAATAACTAGTGTGCATTCACATTGAGTTGATATAATTCCAAAGCAAAGGAAAAGAAAAGTGTAATGCAGGAAAAAGTTGAGGAGGGGCACCTAAGGAAGACCCCATCGTAAGAATCAGTGACATAACTCAATGACTACAGGACAGGCTTACTGACATTGGAAGGGATTTTACCAATGGTATTAAGATAACCTTTCTGCCCTCATGTTACCTCCCTACTCTGTATTAGAAACTGAAATGCTACTAAGCAGTAATTCATTTCAATTCACAACTTCCTCTATTAATATGCAACTACCCTTCAAAACACTGGGCTAGGTAAGAATTGGCCTTTATCTCTCAGAACGAATCGCCCTAATCAGTTTCCTTCCCTTTTCCTCTCCTTTCCTCCTTTCCCTAATACCCTTCTCTTACCTTTCTTTTCAACATCTAACCAAGATAAATTCAGAATACAACTTAAGGGGAACAAGTCTGAGTAAAATTCTCTACGCAGCCAGAAACGTCTGAAAACTTGGCAGGGAGGTGCAAGGAAAGAAGAGAAAAATCAACTCTATGCCTGTTCTGCCTACCTCACTCTGCAATCTCTGCATGGAGCCCATGGCTAGCTGCTTTCATACCCATCCATTCTCCTATGCATAAAAACAAAATGAATTACTACACATTTCCTGAGTGCCTACTATTGCAAAAGGAGGTATCACGGTGGGACATACACAGAAGCAGAACAAAGCATGAGTGCATCTCTAGCAGCAAGTCATTGCTGGGGGCGAAGAATGGGGGATTTAAGAGGGTTTGTGATAATCCAGGAGCTATCATAAAGAAGCACATACCGTGAAAGAAGTTCTCCCAAATGCAGCTTCCTAGTGTTTTTTGGGCAATGTATTCTCATTGTACAATGCTGAACTCTTTAAGAGATAGCAAGTTATCTCCCTATTTGGCTTCCAGATCTTTCTCAGCCCTCTTCTCAGTGTATCTTCTGACATGCCCCAGTAAGCCAGTTATTCCTAAGCCCTTCAGTCAATCATCATACTAACTCAACTATTCAACAAATACCAAATAAGCAAATGTCCTATAAGCACATCACTGTATATTAGTGATTTTGGATGGTATTCTTCCTAGGGTTATTTGCATTTCAAAAGAACACTGAACTGTTTTTTTAATTTTTGAGACTGAGGCTCACTCTGTCACCCAGGCTGGAGTGCAGTAGCATGATGTCAGCTTACTGCGACCTCTGCCTTCTGGGTTCAAGAGATTTTCATGCCTCAGCCTTCTGAGTAGCTGGGATTACAGGCGCATGCCATCAGGCCTGGCTAATTTTTGTATTTTTAGTAGAGATGGGGTTTCACCATGTTGGCCAGGCTGGTCTCGAACTTCTGACCTCAAGTTATCTGCCCATCTTGGCCTCCTAAAGTGCTGCCATTACAGACATGAGCTGCCACATCCAGCAAGAACAGTGAATTTCCAATGGTGAAATTTCAGGCACCATTTCAGAGAAATATTTGGAACCAAAGATTCATTGGTATTCTTAAAATCATACTATACATAAGCAACTTCTTGCAATTCTTATCCAAAATGTTAGTCCTTGCTGAACACAGGAGAAGTAGGTCTGGACAAATGGGAAGAGTTAAGTATAAGAAAAGTCAGCAAGGCCGGGCGCGGTGGCTCAAGCCTGTAATCCCAGCACTTTGGGAGGCCGAGGCGGGTGGATCACGAGGTCAAGAGATCGAGACCATCCTGGTCAACATGGTGAAACCCCGTCTCTACTAAAACTACAAAAAATCAGCTGGGCATGGTGGTGCCTGCCTGTAATCCCAGCTACTCAGGAGGCTGAGGCAGGAGAATTGCCTGAACCCAGGAGGCGGAGGTTGCGGTGAGCCGAGATCGAGCCATTGCACTCCAGCCTGGGTAACATGAGTGAAACTCCGTCTCAAAAAAAAAAAAAAAAAAAAAAAAAAAAGAAAAGTCAGTGATTTTTTTTTTTCCTTTATTTTTGGGCAAACACTTAGCTATTTTAAACTGTTAGGTCACTCTAAAATGTGTTCCTTCCTTTGAGCTTTAATGGCCTCTGTGTTGCAAAATTTTCCTATTGGAGTTTGAGTTTCAGGCTAACACTAGCTATGTGATCTTAGGTAAATCAGACAGGGCTAAGATTCAGTTTCACCTATGGACTGGAGATAATGCTGTATCACACAGAGAGGAAAGAAGGGGAACAAAATACAGAAATAATGAAGAAAAAGGTGGGACCCCTACACTTTGCTATGGAAAACAGAGATGAATCTCCCCAACGACAGGCCTATGTCCGTTTTGCTTTCCTTCGTACCCTGGAACCTACCAGAGTAGTGGGCACATAGTTGACAATAAGTAACTGTTGAACTGAACTTAACTTGCTGACATTAATATAGGCCTTCCTTGACTGGAACAGATCCAGTAAGGTTCTGCATAGGTTATATAGCTGTAAGAATACTTTGAGAATGTTATGGCATAAACAAATGTCAGTTATCAAATAAACTCCTCCTTTAGAAAACTCCCATATTTTCTCAACTTCCACACTTACCCTGATACATCACAGGAATAGTGCCGGTAAAATTCAGCAGGTCTTTCTGGGAACTATCTTTAAAAACTGGAAGAAAAAAGCCCCAAAATGTGCAATCAGAAAGAACTGTGGTAAAGTATGTAAGTATGCACATGTGTGTGCTCTTAAGTACACACACAAATACACACGCAATGTCTAAACATAATCTAGGAATTGGTAAATCTGTCAACAAAAGGAAATGACTAGATGTTGTTTACTTAGAAAGCAGTGAGGTGGCTGAAAGAATACAGGATTTTGATACTGAAACCCCAAGTTCTGGGGCCACCTTCCCTGCTTAGACGAATGTGACTTTTGGTGACTTTAATCATCTTTGATCTTCAGTTTCATCATCTATAAAATAAAGATAATATGACTGCCTTACACAGTTCTCATAAGGATCAAATGAGAGAATGAGAAAACTCTTAATAAGTACTATGGGCCGGGTGCAGTGGCTCACGCCTGTAATCCCAGCACTCTGGAGGCCAAGGCAGGTAGATCACAAGGTCAGGAGTTCAAGACCAGCCTGGCCAAGATGGTGAAACCCCATCTCTACTAAAAATACAAAAATTAGCCAGGTGTGGTGAAAGGCGCCTGTAATCTAAGCTACTCGGGAGGCTGAGGCAGGAGAATCACCTGAGCCCAGGAGGCAGAGGTTGGGGCAACCCAAGCAGCTGAGATTACAGGCGCCTGCTACCATACTCGGCTAATTTTTGTATTTTTAGAAGTGAGCCGATATCATGCCACTGCACCCCAGCCTGGGTGAGAGAAAGACTCCATCTCAAAAAAAAAAAAAAAAAAAAAAAAAGATAATAAAGTAAAAGCTTCCTTAGATAACCAGATTCTTACTATTAATTGAACAAGATAACTAAAACTTTGTTAATAATTTAGAATCAACTATATATATGATAGGCAGAATAAAGGTCCTCCAAAGATGTCCATATCCAACCCTTGGAACCCGTGATATGTCATCTTACTTGGCAAAGGGACTTCTCAGACATGATTAAAGACTCTGATCACTTGACTAGCCTTTAAAAAAAATTAAGGAGTCTGAGATGAACAGATTACCCTGTATTACTGGGATGGGTCTAATCTAATCACATCGGTCCTTAAAAGCAGAGAATCTTTCCCAGCTATGGTCAGAGGGCAATTTGCCTATAGAAGAATGGCTTGGAGACATCCAACACTGCTGGCTCTGAAGATGGAGAAAGGAAACCAAGAGCCTAGGAATGTGGGTGACCTCTAGAAACTGAAACTCAAGGAAACAGATTATCCGTCGGAGCCTCCAGAGACAAAGGCAGCTGACACCTAGATTTTAGCCAAGTCAAACTCCAGTTCAGCTTCTAAGCTACAGAAATTTGTGTTGGACTTCTTGCCTACAGGATTGTAACATAGTAAATGTGTGTTTTTTAAAGCTACTAAGTTTGTGGTAGCTTGTTACAGCAGCAATAGAAAACTAATGCAAGATATATTGTATTAATTTAAGCTTTCTCAGAAATTGCAGGTCACAAAGTATAACTGAAAATCAGAAGACAAAAGAGAAAACGAGAAATTACAATTTTGCAGCTCTTTAGGGCCAAAAATTAGTAGTTCCAATAATGCAGCATTTAAACTAGAAAATATGATTCTTACCATAGGTGTCCATGGAATATTTGAAATGCGGGAAAAACATATTTACATTCTTTAGTTCTTCCACAGTTAGGTCCCTGAACTTGTACTGAAAAGAGAAAAATAAGCATGGAGTAAGAATAAAGCTCTGAGCAAAAGAACAATTGCAGTTAACATTTAACTGACAATTTACCATGTGCTAGGCCCTGGGCTCTGAGCTTTACGAATATGTACAGTATTTAATTTTTTAAAAAAACAAAAGCCCTACAACATAGGGAGGGCTTTACAATTGCTCTACAGAAGCAGGAGAATAAATGAAAGCTAGCTGAGTCAGACAGCAAGTTAAATAGCGAAGCCAGAGCTCAAATCCAGGACCAGGGTCTTGAATGTCTAAATCGAACTGCCTCCAAATACCTCCTTAAGAGATGAGGCAGAATGAATCACCCCTCTTACCACTATTTGAGATCCAACTGTCTTTTTGGCATAGCTCATTCACTTGAGATACCTCAACTTCCCCTCCCACCTTCCTGGGTTTCAATCAGAAAACAAAAGCACACAAGGTTTTACAGTCAGGTGTGTAACTGCCTCTTCATTTATCCAGATGTCTTCTCAGAGATACTAACTTGGTTGTCTTGTGGACAAAATCTTTTAAATTCTTTAAGCCTATTTTCTCACCTGCATAAAGAAATAATACTTATCTCTTACACTAGTGGTTAGTTTTAAATGAAAGAAAAGAAATATAGTAAGAGTTTACCATTCTGAAAATGGATTTGAGAAAACAATTCCTTTTACAATGGCATCAAAAAGAATAAAATATTTAGGAATAAATTTAGCCGGGCGCTGTGGCACATGCCCTGTAGTCCCAGCTATTCGGGAGGCTGAGGCTGGAGGATCTCTTGAGTCCAAGAGTTCTGGGCTGTAGTGCGGTATGCCAATCGGGTGTCCACACTAAGTTCGGCATCAATATGGTGACCTCCCGGGAGCGGGGGACCACCAGGTTGCCTAAGGAGGGGTGAATCGGCCCAGGTCGGAAACAGAGCAGGTCAAAACTCCTGTGCTGATCAGGAATAAATTTAACAAGGTACCAAACTTAGACTGTGAAAACTGTATAACATTGTTGAAAAAAATAAAATAGACCAAAGTAAATGGAAAACATCCCTTGTCTACGGATTTGAAGACAGTATTGTTAAGATGGCAACATTCCTCAGCAGATTCAACACAATCCCTATCAAAATCCCAGCTGGCGTGTGTGTGTCTCTGTGTGTGTGTGTGTCTCTGTGTGTGTGTGTGTCTGTCTGTGTGTGTGCGTGTGTGCGTGCACGCATGTGCAAAAATTTGCAGATTCTAAAATTCAGATGGAAATTCAAGGGACCCAGAATAACCAAAACTATCAGGAAAAAGGACAAAACAGCTGGTGGATTCATACTATAATCAAGATACAGGCTATAATCAAAAGGAGAAAATAACAAGTGTTGGAGAGGATGTAAAGAAATCAGAACTCTCACACATACACCACTGCCAGTGGTAAAATGATACAGCTGCTTTGGGAAACACCCTGGTAGTTCTTCAAAAGATTAAACACAGAGTCAGCGTTACCACATGACTGAGCAATTCAATTTCTAGGTATATACCCAGGAAAAATGAAAACAGGTATCTACACAAAAACTTGTACACAATTGTTCATAGCAGCATTATTAATAGCCAAAAAGTGAATACAATCCAAATGTTCATTAAGTAATGAAAGAATAAATACATTGCGGCATATCCATAAAATGAAACATTTAACCACAAAAAGGAATAAAGTGCTAATACACACTACAACATGGATGAACCTTAAAAACACTACGTAAGAAATTAGACAAAGGAAATGTCTGTCTCTGGTCTTGGCCAGAGGCTGTGCTTCTTAGAAAAAAAATTTTTTTTAAATAAAAGAAACGAGACACAAAGGCTACATATTTTATAACTGCATGCATATGCAATGTTAAGAATTGACAAATACATAGAAACACAAAGTAGACTAGTGGATACCCAGGATTGGGGGAGTTTGGGAGAAAATGGAAGAGGACTGCTAATGGATCCTGTTTCCTCTCTCAGAACCTTAAGTTCTTCACCTGCAAAAAAGATATAGCTCTACTGGCTACCAACTTCAACAGGTGTATATGAAACTCTTACAATTAACATATGTATGTAAAAGAGAGATTATAAACAAAGTATGTATACAACAGTAAGTACAGACAGCAAACTACAAATTGACACAAAGAACATCTAAGTTACGGAAAGGCCTCTGGAGAAGCTCAAACTACATTTCAGCCTAGAGTCTTGAATGGTATAGACATTTAGGGATTAAGCCAGTCGTGGTAGCTCACACCTGTAATCCCAGCACTTTGGGAGGCCAAGAGAGGCAGATCACTTGAGGTCAGGAGTTTAAGACCAACATGGTGAAATCCCATCTCAACTGAAAATACAAAAATTAGATGTGGTGGCATGCACCTGTAATCCCAGCTACTCTGGAAGCTAAGGCAGAAGAATCACCTGAACCCTGGATGTTGCAGTGAGCCAAGATTGTACCACTGCACTCCAGCGACAGAGTGAGACTCTGTCTCAAAAAGAAAAAAAGAAAAGAAAAAAGAAAATTAGGGGAAAGAGAGGTCATTCTGGGATGGGGAAGAATTTGCTAGAAGAGAAGTCTGACTACAAACAACTTGAGGGCAGGAACAACCGGAAGGCAGGAATTGTCTTTTACTCGTTGTTCTATCTCTTCACAGTACTTAGGGTCTGCCTTTGATAGAATTATATTTTTTGGATGGAAGTTGGCAAACAGACAGATTTATATGAGTAGGGTAGACATAGAAAGTAATTATGATCCACAGCACTGAGCATCAAAACTAACAAATGATCAGTATTAACTAAAACAGGCTTGTTTAGTCTGTTGGGCAAAGTGAGTCCTAGATTCAGTGCCCATGATTCAATGTAAACAAAACTGAATGAAGTCACTCCAACTCCAAACACTACACAAATGTACAAAAGGCTGCATTGTTGTCACCTGGAATATATATATTATCAACAGATATAATTTGTTTCATTTTCCACGATTTTCTACATCCTTAAAATCATTGTAGAACACTGGGCGCAGTGGCTCACGCCTGTAATCCCAGCACTTTGGGAGGCCAAGGCAGGCGCATCGCCTGAGGTTGGGAGTTCAAGACCAGTCTCACTAACATGGAGAAACCCCTTCTCTACTAAAAATACAAAATTAGCCAGGCATGGTGGCATGTGCCTATAATCCTAGCTACTTGGGAGGCTGAGGCAGGAGAATCACTTGAACCTGGGAGGCAGAGGTTGCTGTGCGGCAAGGTCGCGCTGTTGCACTACAGCCTGGGTAACAAGAGCGAAACTCCGTCTCAAAAAAAAAAAGAAATTACTGGAGAACATGATTATTAATAGCTATATAAGGCCACACTAAAATTGATTTAATTGCAAAACTGCTATACAAGTTTGTCAAAGGCAGCAAAAGCACTCTTCTCGGGATTTAAAAACCCAAATGTCACTATTAAATATTTGCTCTTTTGACACCCCCCTTGCCAAAAAGGACTTCTTTTATCTGTCTTGAAGAAAATATTAACTTTTGGGGCTGGGCACGGTGGCTCACGCCTGTAATCCCAGCACTCTGGGAGGCCAAGGCAGGCAGATCATGAAGTTAAGAGATTGAGACCATCCTGGCTAACACAGTGAAACCCCATCTCGACTAAAACATAAAAAATTAGTCAGGCGTGGTGCCATGTGCCTGTGTCCCAACTACTTGGGAGGCTGAGGCAGGAGAATAACTTGAACCTGGGAGGTGGAGGTTGCAGCGAGCAGAGATTGCCCCACTGCACTCAGCCTGGGTGACAGAGAGAGACCCTGTCTCAAAAAAAAAAAAAAAAAAAAGAAAATATTAACTTTTTTTATTTTTTGGAGACAAGGTCTCGCTCTGTCACCCAGGCTGAGTGCAGTAGCACAATCAGGTGTGCACCACCATGACTGGATACTTTTTTAGTACTTTTTGTAAAGATGAGGTTTCACCATGCTGCCAAGGCTGGTCTTGAATGCCTGTGCTCAAGGGATCTGCCTGCTCTACCCTCCCAAAGTGCTGGGATTACAGGTATGAGCCACCGCACCCAGCCTTATTTTCACTACATATTAAGCAGTGTATCTTGTCAGTGTAATTTTTTTTCTGAGACTGATTTTTGCTCTTGTTGCCCAGGCTGGAGTGCAATGGCGCAATCTCGGCTCACCACAACCTTCATCTCCCAGGTTCCAGCGATTCTCCTGCCTCAGCCTCCCGAGTGGCTAGGATTACAGGAGCCTGCAATGACACCTGGCTAATTTTGTATTTTTCAGAGATGAGTTCTCCATGTTGGTCAGGCTGGTCTCAAACTCCCGGGCTCAGGTGATCTGCCCACCTGGATCTCCCAAAATACTGGGATTATAGGCATGAGCCACTGCACCCGGCCTGGTATCATTTACTAAAATAAATTTTTAGCAGGAAGGAATCTTATAGATCAAGTCCAGTATTGCCATTTTATGAGGGAGCAAATCCAGGTTAAGTTGCCTCTCCAAGGTAACTCAGCTTGAGGAGCGGAAAACAGAAATTAGGGAACTAGGTAATTTCTGTAAATATAACACTTAATACAAACGAAGGAATATACATATGTGGCTGGGCATGATGGCTCAAATCTGTAATCCCAGCCCTCTGGACAGTCGAGGATGGAGGATCACTTGAGGCCAGGAGTTTGAGACCAGCCTGGGCAAGACTTTGTCTCTACAAAAATAAAAATAGGCCAGATGTGGTGATACTGTCTGTGGTCCTAGCTACTCCAGAGGCGGTGGCAGGAAGATCACTTGAGCCCATGAGTTTGAGACTACAGTAAGTTATGATGGTACCACTGCACTCCAGCCTGGGAGACAGAGCAAGACTCTGTCTCTTAAAAAAAAAGAATGAAAGCACACACTTTTTGAAGAATAGTAAGTACTGGTGAATTGACCCACCTACTTATGATACAGAACTGTCTGACAAAGCTTAAGCTTTCTGCCATAATGGAAATAATCTGTAAGTACATTGTCCAATATGATAGCCACAAACCACATGCGACTACTGACAATTGAAATGTAGTGATTTTGTTCCTGTTTCAAAAATACTTATGTCTTTTGCCCAATTCTCTATTTATTGAGTTTGTTTTGTTTTTTGTTTTGTTTTGTTTTGAAGACAGAGTCTCGCTCCGTTGCCCGGGCTGGGGTGCAGTGGTGTGATCTCAGCTCACCACAACCTCCGCCTCCCAGGATCAAGAGATTCTCCTGCCTCAGCCTCCTGAGTAGCTGGGATTACAGGCACGTGCCACCAAATCTGGCTAATTTTTTTGTATTTTTAGTAGAGACGGGGTTTCACCATGTTAGCCAGGCTGATCTCAAACTCCTGACCTCAGGTTATCCAACCATCTCAACCTCCCAAAGTGCTGGAATTACAGGTTTGAACTATCGCACCTGGCCTTAAATTTATTTTTTTATTTTTTAGAGAGACGGTCTCTCGTTCTGTCTCCCAGGCTGGCATGCAGTGGCACAATCATGGCTCTCTGCAGACTCAAACTCCTGCGCTTAAGCTATCCTCCTGCCTCAGTCTCTCAAGTAGCTGGTACTACATACATGAGTAACCGTGCCCAGCCAAAATTATTTCTGGATATTAAACGATTATATTATTTGCCTACTGCAATGAATGGTCAGGGAATCCCAAACATTTGCTGGACTGACTTGTTTCCGATGAGTTTCCTTAATTTATACAGCCAACAGGTACTTATTAATAAGCTACCTATGTGCCAGACTCTATGCTATGCACTAATGGAAAAAAAATCCTCTACTATTCTACTCTCATCCTTGAGAAAACTTGCCTTTTCTTTTCCTTCATTCCAGTTCCACCAGAAGTAGGCTCTATGTTTGAGTCTTAAACAATTCAGGGAAGGGAGGGACCGTAAAAAAAAAAAAAAAAAAAAAAAAAACTTGAGTAATTCTTCCCATCGAGCATCCATCATCCTCTACACATTAAAACTTGAATGGTTCTTTTAATTTCATGTCCTCTGAAGAGGTCACAGAAAGGGTAGATATCCTAAGCATGACGATACTTCTCTTCCTACAAGATCTGCACCTGTCGCAGTAGATAAATTCAATCAAGTCACTTACATAAATAATTTCAATCTTGGGGCTTCAAAACCTCCCACGACTATGCTAACTGTCCCAACAAGGAAAGAAGCAAGTACAACAAAAATGGCATAAACTATGGCTTCCGCATGAGGAAGTCTTAAGAAGCATTAAGAATTACTATTCTGGGGGGCTGAGGAGGGTGGATCACTTGAGGTCAGGAGTTCCAGCCCAGCCTGGCCAACACGGTGAAACCCTACCTCTACTAAAATACAAAAATTAGCCCGGCCTGGTGGCGTGCGCGCCTGTAATCCCAGCTACTTGGGAGGCTGAGGCACGAGAATCGCTTGAACCTGGGAGGCAGGGGTGCAGTGAGCTGAGATCGCACCACAGCACTCCAGCCTGGGCAACAGAGCAAGACTTTGTTAAAAAAATAATAATAATAAAATAAATTATTTAACTAGGAAACTGGTGAAAACTAGTTTTCTTTTTTTTTGGGGGGGGGGGGACGGAGTTTCGCTCTTGTTACCCGGGCTGGAGTGCAATGGCGCAATCTCGGCTCACCGCAACCTCCGCCTCCTGGGTTCAGGCAATTCTCCTGCCTCAGCCTCCTGAGTAGCTGGGATTACAGGCACGCGCCACCATGCCCAGCTAATTTTTTGTATTTTTAGTAGAGACGGGGTTTCACCGTGTTGACCAGGATGGTCTCGATCTCTTGACCTTGTGATCCACCCGCCTCGGCCTCCCAAAGTGCTGGGATTACAGGCTTGAGCCACCGCGCCCTGCCGAAAACTAGTTTTCTTAACTAGAAAACTGGTGGGGATTTCCTCAGATTGTACACTGGAGACTCAGGCTAGTCAGGCCGAGGAAATATACGTCAGATTTCTAGGTTGGGCCGCCTACTCCTCAACTTTAAGATCTCTCCAGGGCCTTCAAGTTGTCTTCATCCCTAAATATACTCAGGTCTTTCATTCACCGCAGTTATTTAGTACCTATGTTGTTGTCTAGCATAGTGGCTAGATGAAAGGAATACAAAAGCACAGTGTCTGCAGTCAAAGGGGCTCACAGCAAGAGTAAGGTTTGTAAATACATAATTACTCCACAATGTGATAATCGATTATCTTTGAAAGCAGAAGGGTTGATTCAATCTTCCAGGGAGTGACTGAGTTGGGTCTCAAAAAGGACGAGCTTTGCAATTCAAGAAAAAAGGTAGGCCATTTCAGC